TCACTTTTCGTTCGAGACTTCTTCCAGTCCTAAATCCTCCACGTACAGTTTTGCCTTGTATTGATGCCAACTCCAGTCTTTAAGAAGAGTGCTACTTATTAGTAGTTTATCTACCTAAGCTTATTAACAGGAGGAAATACTTAATATCTATTCGTGCGTTATTACCCTTACTACTAACTGGCTTATCACTCGTAAACTAGATAATACAACGAATAAGAGATACTGATTGAAGCGATTCAAACCCTATTGTGCACAACAAGGTAATATAATAAGTAAAGAATCCTCTATAAAGAAAGAGCAATAAAAACACAAAATAACTGCCCATGGGGACGTAACAAGAGAGAAAACACTAAGAGAAATCATCGACAATCAATTAGATATGATTGTAATGAGAATGCTTTATTAGTTGTCACTCCCTATTTATACCTATCCCACCGTTGAAGTGACCCAGGTAGTATGTCCCTCCGAGGGCGTCCCCGCAGGGAACATACTCCCGTCGGTCACTGACTGCAATAAGTGCCGTTTCGCGTATGGTCGCGACAGCAATTACAAAGCTAAGTTTTGGTTTTAAAAGAGTCTGACTACTATTAGCGGGACACTCTACACTCAGTGTCATTATTCCTTTCTGAATATGCTAGTGTGAATATCTCTCTATTCGCGTGTTCGGAGCATTTAACGAGGAATTGTAACTTTCCACATGTCACATGAGCTACACCACTTCCAAAGTTGGTTTTACATTCATAGGTTAGTTTTGCTTCTGAGAGGCAGTTGTAACATCCTTCCAATTGAGTCACTCTAAGGTCGCACTCATTCTGTTCTACACTGCTTACCAGCTTTATTCCACCAATGCCAATCTGTAGTTCAAGTGCTCCTACGTATCCAGCTTTTGCTTCTATGCCATCTTCCGCTTGTTCTATTGTGAGGCCTGGTGCTACTTTAGGAACTATAATATCCTTTAGTTCCATAATTTTTTCCAAATCGTGATCATAGCAAATGCATGAGACCGTCTCTTCTCCATTTATACACTGGCAAATTCCATGTGGTAATGAGCAGTCTAACTTTTCAGCTTGAAATCTACCCTGACATTGTAATGCTCCTACCATTTCTGCTAACCTCATGTCCGTTGGTGATGCTGATAACATAACTGTTTATTTGTTGTCAGTCATAAAGTTTTTCCCTAGGAGTGGTAGAAGTGGAATATCTACATTCACTAACTGTAGCTTCAATGGTCCTAGTCCAGTGTCTTCTCCTTCTCTTACTAGTACCATTTCTTCGAGATTTTGCTTTTGCTGCTTTATTTTTACTAATGCTGTCATCGAAAATGTCCATGAAGGGCACGAAAATACTTCATATACCGTATTACTGAGAGGACATACATAGATTCTGTAGAAAAGATACGCCGAAGAGCATAGAAAGCATCCACAGCCTGCACATCCACACGATTCCTGACATTGAGTTAAGCCGAGATTATCATTCGGTTCTCCATCAAACTCCTTTATCTTATCCGTTGTCTTAGTTCCGGATTATTTTTCATTCACACAAAAACCTGCTCTGGGGCAACACTTAGAGGATACTGTTTCCATTTTATATGATCTCGTGAAGTATTCTGTAATCTTTTGGCAGACAATGTCGATTTTGTCGACTCTTACAATAACTGTACCCATCACTTTTCCCATTAGATTTTTAAGTTAGAGGCACATGTCTTGACCGCGCAGAGAAACTAATACTCTTACCTTCTCATCCACTGCACACTCTTCGCCGCCCTTCTTATTCATACTACTCCTGTTGCTTTCTATATTCAATGCTACCATTTCTGCGCAGGCGCCTCAGAATTGAGCTGTTCCTATGACTATCGCAATCCCGACCAAATTGGCTAATGTCCAATTTTCTCATTTGGCTTCATTCCAAAACCTTTTCATTCTTTCACTACGCTCAGCAGCATTCGCTTCCCTTCGCTTACAAGCAAAAATGAGGAGTTTTAGCATTAATCTAATAAAACTTAGCAAAAGGTTTAGGATTACCTTTACTATTTTAATTCCCATATATAAACATAACATTATGATGTACAAGATTATTAGCGCGATTCCTAGTTCTCACTTGGAAGTGCATTGTGGATTAAAAGTTGCTTCTTTTGAAGCACTTGATTCCGCCGTGAAAAATCAGTCTAGCGGAAGTTAATAAGTGTTTAAAACAGCGATGTTACAGACGACGGAGTAACAGTTAGCCTTTCGCTACTTTCGCGGCCCGGAGTGTGTTGCGATGCAACAAGGAGGTACAATAGGGCAGTAATGGAGAAAGAAGAAATGGAATTGATCAAGCAAAAATGTTTTAAATGGCGCCAACAAAAAGATAATACTTAGATCGGGTGATTAGCATAAATGGTTCAAGAAAAGAGATTAGCAGACAACGACTACCCGGTCGACGCCAGCAAGAAACGTTTAAAAGGACATAGTACAAGCTAGCAAAAGTCTTTTCGAAACTCTTTGTTGCTGAAAGTGCACGTTCTACAAATCGCTGCTGAATTTTCTAAAAAATTCTATTCCCTGCTGATATTCCTTGTTTGGTGCAAATCTGTCAGGTCCACAAATCAAGCCTTTCTTTTATGTTCGTATGTTTATGAGTGTTTTAGTGTTTGCAGTATTCTTTGTGGTATTAAATTATATTTTTCCCAGTGTTTCTTTGTCTATTCATCATTGGCTTTCCTTATATCTGTAATCGTCATGATTCCAACAACTTCTCCAGTTGTCGCTCTCTCTCTCTCTATTTTTCGTATTGTTCATAACTTTATGGCCTTGCTATTTTATACAATTAGAGTTAAACAATCTTTAAAAATATAATATTTAAAGGTGTTGTAGTTAAGACGCGGCTAACCAAAATCATAAGTTACAACAGACCTCCAAAATATAAATGAAAAGCCCTGTGCGTAATTTGATAAATGTTAGTCCGTTTTAAAATAGTGTACTTTCTTACTTTTTCCTTATTAATTTAGACCATACAAAAGTAGCCAAGCAAGGGCTTCAGCTGGAAGTTAAATTTCTCAAACATTTAAATGTCTCTGCGTTAACGTGGTGATTTCAACAAGTGTAATGGTTTCATGCCCTTTAAATGTTAAAATATATCTGGTCCAATAAATACTGTTTTTCTCGATATGAACCAGTTGATGAATTTGCTACGGCATCAATATACGAAATTCAAAGATCCAATTTCTAATGCACGGATTCATACAACATTGCAATTCCCTGTCCGCCACCGATACAGGAAGCACCAATGCTATATTTAACCCTACGTCGCCTAAAATTAGCAACTCTACGGTCAAATTTTATTCTTTCCATACAACTTCTGATGGGTTCAACTTCTCAACCAAGGTATCTCATGTATGGTTAAGCCTTCTCAAACTACAAAGAGACTTTTTAAAATTACTGTAATTTCATTCTTCGCTTTTTTTCAAATCTCTCTTAGAAGTCTCTCATAAAGTACTATACTGACTCATCCCTAATTCATATTCATAATCAAAGTTCGCAAAAAAGGTGATCTTATCTTAACAGCTTCAAGGCCACTGCGGGATGCTTTCAAGTACTTTGAATGCATATTTTTGAAAACACACGAAAGTCAAGTTACCTCATTTCGTGGGCCAAATGAGCTGAGATTCTAGCACCAGAAGCTCCAAGAGGATGGCCTATGGCAATTGCTCCTCCATTGAGGTTCAGTTTCTCATCAGGGATTTTCAACTCTCGCTGCACGGTTGCGCATTGAGCAGCAAAAGCTTCATTTACCTAAAAAAAGAAGAATCACTGCTTTTTTCAACATGTAAGTATTTTTAGAGACTCACTGACAGCACAACGAAAACGAGTTGCACAAACCTCAAACAAATCAATGTCGTTCATTTTGAGCTTCGTCTTCTGCAATAACCCTTTGATTGCAGGCACAGGACCGATTCCCATTATTGACGGGTCTACTCCAACTACATGCCATCCTACAATGCGTGCCAATGGCTTAAAACCGTGCTTTTTTATTGCATCTTCATTCGTCACCACGAGAGCTGCAGCACCATCGCAAACTCCCTATATCGTTCAACTGTGACTGTTCAAAGAAAAAAATTATGTTCTTCATTGAAAGACCAGAAATAAGTTTTAAACTTCGAAAATACCGATGCATTTCCAGCGGTAACCACTCCATCCTTTTTGAAAACAGGTGACAGTTTAGCTAAGGTCTCAGCTGTTGTTGGTCTGGGATGTTCATCAACCTAATGTACTAAAGTTTGGCTATCGCAGCAAGAAAATGTTTCCATAAGTGTTGGAAATTTGTCTGAGCTACAGTAAAGGGAATCTTTTTGTCCTAGTAGTTGCAGAAAATCCTACCTCAAACACCACTTCCTTTTGCTTTTTTTTTACTGTCAATGGGGCCATTTCTTCCTTGAAGACACCGTTGTCTTGCGCTAAAAAAACTAGTACAACAACTTGCAGTCTTTCAAAAAGAACATCTGTACGGGAAAATTGAGTAGTTGAACTTTTTGTTTCGCATCACTTTTTCTTTCCTTAAAAAAGACATCTGCAGAAAATAGTAAAAATACCTTTCTTCCACAATGTTTGAGAACGAAGAGCAACAGCATCTGCCATCTCTCTAGTAACTTTGAATTTTGCAGCAAGATTTTCAGCAGTTATAGCCATTGGGGTTTTGATCAGTGCATCTGTTAACCCGAGGTGGAGAAAATCTTCGTACTGAAAGTGTAAGGAACTAGAATTTTTAAAATTTAGCTAGTGGGCGCAAAATTTTTGTTTGAAAGTAACATAAAGCCATTGAAAAAGAATCCCAATAACGTCACAAAAATAAATCTTACTCTTCCAAAGTTGACGCAGCCTTTAAATTAGACTTCATTATGCATTCATTTTGGCAGTCAAAAAATTTCTTAAAAAATTACACTTTTCATTTTATTCGCAATTAAAACGAAAGTAACAATAGGACAAACAATGTTTTTTCGCAGAGAAGTAATTCCAGGTAATATTTTTAAAGATATTCGCCATTTTTTTGAACATGAAAATAATAACTAAATAAATGAAAAAATTTGTGGCACCTCGTAGTTTTGAAGAACCTTCGTTCCGAAACGTATATTACGAACACCATGTGGAGTTTCACTCATATTTTCGGTGCCAACCGAAAGAATCACTGATGCCTCTTTGGCCATTATCTCCTATCGAAGAGAGAATTATTAACTGCAGCAAAAAAACAAAAACTCTAAGCTAAATATGGGAACTGAAAGAATATTAAGCTATAAAAGAAAGTACAAATACCAATGCAGCATTAGCGATAGCCTGGAAACCTGATCCACATAAGCGATTCAAATTGTACGCTGGAATATTCTCGGGAATTCCAATCCGAAGACCAACATGACGAGCCAGATATGCTGCGTCGTTACAGGATTGGATAACATTACCTAATCAAATGAACACTTTTTCAAAACTATATTTCCTTTTTAAAAAACTACGAAACTCTTTACTCTGTACTTTTTTGGCAGACGTAGGAGTTTAACGCTCAGTTTTAAAAATATAAAAGCACAGAAGTTTTAAAACCTTGCTGGCAGTAAATTTAAAAATTAGAACTCAGCCATTCCAAGAAAACAAAAGGCGAAGATTTTGCCATAATTTACCATATATTTTACCATATTGACTAGATTGACTATACATGTGGAAAAACAAAAATAATTCAATAAACGTGAATCAAACCGACGATAACATGTTCAATTTGCTCTGGTTTGACACCACCAGCCTTCATTGCAGCTTGTGATGCAATTACTGCTAAGTCTGTAGCGCTATGATTCTTCAAGCTTCCACCGTATGAACCAAATGCAGTTCTTTTAGCAGCCACAATAAAAATACCTTGAAAATTCTTTAACAGTTAAAGTACTCCAATTAAGAGTATTATTTGCGCATTGGTCAATTTAGTTGACCAGCAAGAGGTGGTTTCTTCAATGCCCTAGATAGAAGATTTAAGCTTACCGGATTTCAAGGCCATCGCTTACTCCGACTAAGAACCGTTACAGCACTGACTGCTCAGGAGCAAAACGAATCTTATGAATAACTGTTGAAAGTGTTGTAGTCGTTCAAGTTGAGTGTAAGTATACGTGCCGATAAGATTTGCAAATGGAAAAGGGCATCGTGCAAAGTTCACAACTGCACACTGGATACATAGGAGAACTGTCCAAGCCATATAATTCGATGCTATATTGAACAAGGCTCAAAGTATGTTCAAAATATTTGTTCTCTAAATGCTCACAAGAGAGAAAAAATGAATCAAATTGTCTATCAGCTGACGCGTAAAACCGTTGAACCTATTAACTTTGTTTTTTTCGTTCATCAATATCGATATGTAAGCAGTATTTATTGTGCGTTTTGCTGTTTATTTTGCCGTTTGAAGCAAAAGTTTGTGAAATAAAGTACCTTCTTAATAATGGTAAAGCCGAAAAAGAAAGAAAGTAAAACAAAATAAAATTTATTTTTAAACTGAAATGTTAAACATACTTCTGTTTAAAAACTGCGATCTCAAAAAGCCTCTCTGAAGGTGCAAACTAATTTGAAAAATCAATTTTCACTTTGTTAAATAACGACAGGTATTTAGCCCATTGATTTTAAATATTCCCTCTCCCGCAATCGCTACCTCAACCTTCTCTCCGTCATAAACTTTTTAACAAACAAAATTTATGAAGAATTGAAAATATTGGGTTTAATTATTAATTCATTAGTATATAAAAAGTCATCATATTTTACAAATTAATAACTGTGCGTAATTAAAGTAGAAAAATTTAGTTTACTATTTACTTGAATATTCTTTTTGAATTCAAATAAGTTATTATTTTTTGAAAAAGGTTAAATTCAATGTCTTTATTTTAAAATTTTTAGTCTATCAATTATATCTGCTGTTCCGATAATAAAGTTTTTTAGCTAGAGTTTTAATTACATGAAAGTAAACGCCAGTAGCAATCATAAGTTACAAAGTTGTTGTCTGAGCAAGTAAAACCTATGTTAACGATAGTATTTTAATGTGACCATAAAGTGCATTTAATGGTCCAATTTCCCTTTTGTGCAGTATCAATGTGAAGCAGAACTAAACATTCTCAGATTTCCACAATTAAATAAACTTTTTAGTCTTTCAATTACATTATACTAGCAATTATTGTTCTACATTTTTTTCACCCGAAACAATAGTTTCTCAACTTTCTTTTTTTCAGATAAAAATTATCTCTTCAATCATTTTTCTGGCTTAAGTTTACTTCATTGTTCTTGCAGACGATACATTGTTCTTTTTTTCATATGCTACATATTAATCCGGAATAATGATGATACAATGGTGACGAAAACCAAATGATAATATTAGAACCAATGCAGTTTCCCTATTTACAAAATGTTCTCTTTTTTCTTTTCTAAAATTAACGCCAACAGAACGATTGAAACAACAAAGAAAGTGAGAGAGAAAAAGCAAACAGTTTTTTGCTTCGTGTTACGTTGGGTAAAGCAAATAAAAAAACGATAAATCACGATCTTGGTGGCGTCCAATTCAGCTGAAAACCCCACTCCAACCCTGGATCAGCACAACTATCAGCTGCGTCCAATTCAGCTGAAAAACCCTACTCTAACCCTGGATGAGTACCACTACCAGAGACTATTTTGGCAGACCCACTACATTCTAGCAGAAGAAGTTCGTTCTTTGCTCACAACGCTTCTCCTTTTGCTTTTGTCGACTGCTAAGAGTTTAAAGTGCTGGAGCTGTCCAAGGTAGCAGCGCTACCTGGGACAGCTCCAGCTTTGCGGAAGCCAATAGGTGGCCAATATAATCACCACGGTGACCGTACTTACCGCAGTGGTTGCTACAGGTACTGTTGCCAGGAAGGTGACAGATTGTTTATAGAAATTTGTAAGTTTTCAGTCTAGCGAACGAAACAGAAAATGCTGATCTAAAATTTTCCAGAAGATTTCTAATTTGTCCTGTTTATCTAAAGTAATGATAGATCTCTTTTGCAAGATGGTGAGAAATGGGGAGAATCAGAATTTCTGTTAATGCACAGTTACTGCACCCAACATCCTGCATCCTAAACGAAGAATCGATCCAACGTCGATGCTGTTGTTCTAGTTTTGCACCAAATGCTGAGTGTGCAAATAATTTTGCTATCTACAGCACTATCTCCTCAGTTGGTAGTTTTAAAGCAAACATTCTCCTTCGCTTTGGGTTAGAAATCACTGATTCAATTTTTTTTCTTACTGATATCAGAATATTTGTTGAAACCATCTTCATTTGCGATACCATAGAACACTAAATTTTTTTTGCTGAAAAGCACAAAAAACAGTGCTGTACATTTGTTTATCCATCTTTTACTTCTCTCTGGTTTTCACTTTAACAATCTTGTTAACGAATCAGAACTGATGGACATCTCAAGTTGGAAGTAAGAAAGCATTTGCTATAGAAATTGCTGAAGTATTTAATGGTCCATTGCTTTAGAGGATTCTTGGAATTAACATTAAAAAAAAAAAAATAGAAATTTCAGCATTTCTTCTCTAAAGAGTTTGCAAGCAACGAAAGTGCTTCTTTCAAAAAACGTCATTCATGTGAAGCGGTGTTTGGTTAGGAGCAGCCGAAACTGCCATCAACTAAACAACGCCTGTCACCAAACCTAAATGACACTTCCTTTAACTGTTCTGTTGTACAGAAACCTTAAAATTATATGGAAAAATTGATGTAATGCTAGATTAGCTAAGGTAGAGAAGATAATTTTCCAATGGATTTTAATGCTATTTGGTTTTTATGCTTTCCAACGTTAGTGCTATTTTGCACTAAGTTGTAAATATTACTTCTGTTTTTTGCAAATAGCTTTTTATATTTAATTTTGAATGGGTGATGCTGCTAAAGTTGCGTTGCATTTTTTGCGAATTATTTAATTGCTATAATTTTCATTGATATAAAAACTTATACAGTGTGATCTCTCATTTTTGTTATAATGCCGATGAAAATTAATTTTATTTGAACAAATAATTGAACAAACGAGGAATGTTAACGGCATACCAAATTTTTAGTGGTATTGGGATAACTTTAGCATAATTTTAGAGGTCGCTTTTGTAAGAGGTTTAGGGTAAAAAAATATGCTTCCTAGACAGCCACGAAATTTCACAATTTATCTTTCTTCTTAACGTTTCCTGCTGCTCTGTAATTTGCTAAACCTTCCCCTTTACTGGTTAAAAAATACTCCGAATTTCTGTTATTTTTGGCTTTAACTTTTTGCCTTTAGCGAGGCCTTTGTTGCTGTATTTATTCCTTTGGAAACTAAAGTAATCTAACAGGTTTGATGGAGTAAAGAAAGAAACTCTGAGCATATGGGCGAAATAGTGGAAGTGCAACTTCACTCTAACATAAACAACTTTTTTTTCTTGCTACAGCCTAGAAAGGATTTTAGTCAACGCAACTGTTGCTGTCAAAATTTCGGTCTTTTGCCAGTTTACTAAAATTCTTAAAAACAACGTTGATAACAACAACAAAAACAAAAACAACAGAAAAAACAATACCAAAAACTTTGCAATTGTCAGAATAGGGTTAAGTGCTCAAGTTAGCGTTTCTACAGCCGAGAATACTAAAGACAGCGCAAAAATTCAAAAGTTCAAAAATGAATTTTTTAGGAAAATATCAGTTTGAACAAGAATTCCATACTTTGAAGTGACATCAGCGTTTTCAGTTTTCTTGCTTCAGAAAAAATTACTATACCACTTATTCACTTATTAACGTGTAACTTTAACTGTTAAGTTTTTGAACATTAAATATGTAGTTTATTTGTTGCATACTATTTACATCTATCTTTCAAGATTCAAAATAGTAATGTTAAATCTGTTCTTAACCGAGTTAATAAAATACTTTCAACGCATACTTGGATTCAAAAAATACTTGAATTTGGTAAAAACGTGGTGTTCGTTTTTTCTAGTACTTATTTTCAACTAGTCAGTTGGGTAATTTTCACGTTCATCAGGAGAAATGGCTTTAAAAGCAAAAATTCAGTATTATGCTTGGATAAGTGTAATAAAGGGCATCAGTAAGCAATAAACTCTGCTTTATCGGGCCATTTAACAGCGTTGTTTTGCAAATGAAATATAAGAATACCAAAAATTCCGGAAATCTAACATAGCCTGAAACACGAGAAGATCAAAAAACTCAATTTTCTAGTTCTGATAAAGTAACCTTGCCATCTACTGAGAGATACAATAAGATATTAAATATTAATCTGTGAGATCAAAAGTAAGAAAGGTACAATTTCTTGTTGATAGCATTAGCGGGCACTTGTTTAATTCTTAAAAATTAAAAAGTTTAGCACTCCTAAAACGATTCTTTTATTAAGTTGCAGTAAGTTAAATTACATGGTTTACTGCTGTTTAAAGAAATTCCTACAATCTTTTAGATTATATTTGTACTACCACACTATTTGATATACATAAAAATTTGTTCAGTGTACAATCTTTTGCAAACAACAATGTATAATCACCACATTGTCTTTTTCAGTCTTATCTTCTGTACCTAAACAACATTTCATAAACATCCGTTGGTCAGCGAAAAAAAGCAGAAGTCTAATTACACTGAATACATTTCATCGTCCAAACTATCAAAAGTCGACGGCTATGCCTGTATTGATCGATATTAATTGAAAACGAAACCCGTATAAAATTTGACACAGAAAAACAACTGGCGGCAGATTAAATAGCTGTTCGCCGAGATCATACTTCACAGAATCATTTCTGTAGTATGTATTTCATAGCCTCCTTCGTGTTGGCTCGACGACAACACCGCGATGACGAGGTGTAGCGTCGTTCCCTGAGCGGGAAGCAGACTGTTGAAGATGTTAGGTCTTCTTCAGACTTGATGACCGTTGGGTCTGCAAGGGTTTTTGCGGATCCAATGGGCTCGACGCTTGCTGAGCGGTAAATCTAATCAACAGAGAGATGATGATGGTTCGTGTACGGGCTCCTCGGTGTCGATCCTGCTGTAGTTAGGTTTTATTTCTACGACTCTCATACGTAGACAAGTGCGGATTTTGTAGTAATATGTCTTGTTGACTATTTCAAAATTACAGTGATGGTGTGTTTGCACGGAAAGTCTCCAATGATTTGTTGGGAATAAGGGGATTTAAAATGCATATTCAGCGGCAGGTGTCACAACTTAGAGATTTTTAAAAGAACGGTGCAAGTTCTGCTACAGAGCAGTTTTTTCTGTAGTCGATAGTACTTTGGCGACGGAGACAGAGAGGTAACTTCACGACTGTTTGCTATGTGAGACTTACAACCTGTCATCCACACTTAAGCTTGGTTGACACACTGTTTAAAAATGAAAAAACGTATTCTGTATAACCATATATAATAGGGAAAATTCAGATCATGCAAAATAACTGAAAGAACACTGTTGATCATTCTGATCGTGTGTAGGAGAATTACTGTTGCCTTAAGCGTGCATACAATGCAAAGGTCTCAACAACAACAGAGTTTAAATTACCGACTGATCGTTTAATCAATCCATTAATCTTTATTTTTATCTATGATGGTATCTAACTTACCGTTTTGATTCAGCAAGAATAATTTCCGAAAACAAACGTGACGTACAAAACACATTTATTTTATGACGCATTGATAACGGACGGAGTTTTCAGTGTACCTATAATACGTCTTGAAAATCGCTAATTCCTTCTAAATCCTGTGCCACAACTGCTCAAATCATACTTTTGAAGAAAGTGGAAGAAAAAACAAAATTTTATTTGGTAATGAAGGATCTGCAGACACTGGTCTTCACATTTGTAGTGGAAGAGCAAAAAATTTTTATATAAAGGTGAGCATATCACAAGGAGCTTTTGATAATTCAGCGTTACGGTTCGGTTTCTGTGGGCTTCTGCAATCCAATAAATAACCATTTGTTCAAAGAAAATAAGCACCATAGCAACTTGAAGTGCAAGTCGACTGTGGGGGTATCCTGCATTGAAATAATGAAGGAAGTTCGTGTACTTAATCAGAAAATAATGTTTAACTAGCTGAAAGTAGGAAACACCAGCGTGAAGAAGGAACGTTCAGTTCTACTATCTTTTCTAAAGGTACTATGACTAATGATTAACTATTTTTACGCTGACTGCACCGAATAGAAGGCGAATAAGTATTACATGAACAAAGTTCAAATTTAACCTCACGGATCTCAAAATATTTATCTATCAATTCGCTTGTATGCAGGATTCTTTCCCCCAAACGTCAGTATCCAGTGACAGATGCTAAAACAGTTTTCTATTAAATCACTGAATGCTTTTTTTCTTCTCTTACTTAAATTTGTTTGGTTGTCCATTATTAAAGTTATACTATCCGTCATAATAAATTTCTAACAACCGTTTTTTTACCCGCGTTCCAGAGCTTCCCTGTTACCTCCATCATCTTTACCCTTTTTCCAAATACCTTTTGTACCGCTCTCTAGAAGCACTGGCTTGGCTATACAATAATGCCTCTGCTTTCAGAAACAGTGCGCGACATAGCAAATGCACACGGCAAAAAAAAAATAGTATTACCACTGTGCTTTAGTTAGCAACTGTTTATTAAATGACTGGTGCGCTGTGAACGGGAAACCCGTAAAACGCTGAGCACAGAAAAACATCTGGTTGCAAATTGCATAAAGCTGATCGAGATCATTTGTGTAGTGCGTATTTCACAGCCTCTTTCATGTTAGGCGAAGGACAGCATTGCGATGACGAGATGGAGCATTGTCCCTAAGCGGGCAGCGGTGAGTTGAGAACGTTATGTTCTATTAGGACTTGTAGTCCGTTGGGTATGCTAGGGTGCTTGCGGGTCCAGTGGGCCAGACGCTTACTGGGCGGTGGGTTCGAAGATATCTGGGAAGGCGTGTATAGCGTTAGTTGTTGGTTCGGCCATTTTATGTGGTAGGAGGACCTTGTGCAGTTGGACTGCGGTGAAGGAGTCGGTAAGTTTTTTACAAGTGTCTATCAATCTCCTTGCGTTTAGGAATCGTGTGTTACAGTAGTTTTGAAAACACTTATGAAGGATTTTTTAAAAGTGCATAAACTTCTATGACTGTGAAGATTTTTTAAAGTTAGCTATTCGTGAAAATATGACGTTTTCAGGCTCTGAAATTGAATCGGCAGTCGCTTCTGCTAACCCAAAGTTCCGCACAACAAAGCAGCATGATGCAAAAATCCACTCCAATTTGTACACCACTGTACAGCTGTGGGCCAGGTATGTCGAAAAACAAGCACAATATTCGAAACCCCATCTGTGTAGGTAACAGTGACTTTTCCGGCAACTTAATTTTAGAAAACATAGTTAACTACAGAAGCATCACTTGAACGGCAAGTTAAACGATGTATAAAATCGATATCAGATACACCAGAAACAGAAAATTATTTATGTAGTAGTTTCACAGTGAATAAATGACAGCAGCGAAATACTACATTGGCTTAAACAGCAAAATATTTTAAAACGCTTATGATCACAGCAAAAACTCATTTAAATTTTCTAAACGAATACAGAAGCACTAAAGGCTATTTTCTCATTGTGGCAGAAGTTAATATTACGTAAAAATAAGTCTGTCGGATAAATCCTCCTCAGTTCCATCAATGGCTTAAATTTACTCCGTATGTAGTAAAAAACTATAAAGATTAGTCAATGCGCAACTTCAAACAACACTGCAATTCCTTGTCCGCCACCGATACATGCAGAACCAATACCATATTTCACCTTTCGGCGTCTAAAATTCAGTTATTGCCATCACTCCTAATCAGATGAACAAAATGAATAGAACGAAACTGAAAAAGTCGCTGTGGATGAATGTAGATATTTTAAAGATTAGAATTGTTGTCTGTGATTTTTCCATATAGTAGAAGTATCATGTACCTCATTTCGTGAACTAGATGAGCTGAAATCCTCGCTCCAGATGCTGCGAGTGGGTGGCCTAACGCAATGGCGCCTCCACTAACGTTCAGCTTTTCGTCAGGAATTTTCAGCTCTCGCTGCACAGCGGCACACTGGGGTGCAAATGCTTCATTTACCTGCAATGAAGAATGAGTTAATGCTTTTCTCAACTTGTCAACAAAAGTGAACATTGTAAAAACCTCTTAGTAGAAACTTCGCTAACCTCTATCAAATCAATGTCATCCAATTTTAGTTTTGTTTTTTGCAATAATCCTCTAATTGCTGGTGCAGGACCAATCCCCATTATCGAAGGGTCTACTCCAACTATATGCCATCCTACAATACGAGCCAGTGGCTTTAAATTGTGTGTTTTGACTGCCTCTTCACCTGCCACTACGACTGCCCCAGCGCCATCGCAAACTCCCTATGTAGTTCCAGTGTGGTTACCATGAAGAGACAAACGCTGATACTTGCTCGTTTAAAATGACAAATCTTTTCAAAATCTTGAAAAAAGTAAGTCGGTAGACTAGAAGTTACCGATGCATTTCCAGCAGTAACTAAACCATCTTTCTTAAAAACAGGAGGTAGTTTTGCCAAGGTTTCAGCAGTCGATGGCCTTGGGTGTTCATCTACCTGAAACCCCAACAGTTGAACAACGCATCAGAACTGCAGAGCGTTAACAGATAAAATCGCACAAAATGAAAATTTCAAGTAGCATTAAAAAGCCCTTCCTGTTCACAGAGCGCGACAGCTTTTTCATCAGCAGCTGCCGTTGAAGACAAACAGTTCTGTTTCAAAAAGAAAAAAAAAAAACAGAAGAAGACTTACATCAAAAACCACTTCTTTATTCTTCTTTTTCACTGTCACCGGAGCCATTTCTTCCTTAAAAGCACCGCTGTCTTGTGCTTGAAAAACATGAGCATTTAAGGGTAAAATGTAATCAACATAGGGAATCATTCCTCATAAATTCTAGTACTAATTCCGCAGTGTGAATACTGCAAATTATGCTAACTTCACACGAGAGTAAAAATAAAGTCAGATCAGCTACTGAAAAAACACCTTTCTTCCATAAAGTCTGTGAACGTAGGGCAAAAGCGTCGGCATCTTTTCGTGTAACGTTATACATTGCACCAAGTTTTTCAGCTGTTAACGCCATTGGAGTATTGACATACGAATCAGTTAAGCAATCCCAGAGAATATCTTCAAACTGAAATAACTCGCAAGTAATACGTTTTGAAAATTATCTTCAAGTTATTTTGAAAAAATTCATCAAAAGTCATACTCACAATTAAAAATCGGTTCAAGAATAAAACTGAATTTAATTTATGATATTTTACCTTGTAATTGCCTCCAAGCCTTGTACCAAATCGCACATTTCGGACAACAAACGGAACTTCACTCATACTTTCAGTGCCACCAGTTAGCACCACCAATGCATCTTTTGTTATGATATCCTGAAAGCAGCGAAAAAAGTAACATTAAGCTGGTAGGGAATCCTAATGTAAGAATATTTTTCTCTTTCTTCTTTTTTATTTTCCTTGTTATAATAGAGTGGCATAAAATATTGCCTGAGCGGCACTAACGACTGCCTGAAAACCTGAACCACACAGGCGATTGAGGGTAAGGGCTGGAATTTTCTCTGGAACTCCCACTCTAAGACCAACATGACGAGCCAAATATGGTGCGTCTTGGCAGGACTGAACTACATTACCTGACCAAAGTTATATTTTTTACAAATAAAAAACATTTCAAAAAAGTTTCAGATCTTCATAACAGTAAAATCAATAATACTTTATAAGAAAAATCTAAAATCCCTTCAACAGGCACCAGTAACTTATCCTTTGATAGTTTCACTAGGGTAACATTCTGAACCAGCAAGACGATCACACTATAATTAACAAAATTCTTACTGAAGACAAAAAGCAATAATGAAAAGAAACCAAAAATAACATGGTCGATCAGCTCTGGCTTAATATTTCCAGCTTCCAAGGCTGCTTTACTGGCAATTACAGCAAGATCTGTAGCTGTGTGATTTTTTAGAGTTCCGCCGTATGTCCCAAACGCTGTTCTTTTAGCAGCCACAATAAAAATACCTAAAGTAATTGTGTTAGCAACTACATTAAATTGGTCTGCCTCTAGGAAGATACAGTTTAGAAGCAAACATTTGTATGTTAACTAATTATCTAAATTTGTTTAGTGAAAAAACTACCAGATTTTGAAGCCATTGATGATGCTGATAATGTATCACCGCTTACTGAGCGACACTGAACTGGTTCTATAAATTAGGCGTTTTGGCAACCGATAATGTTGTTGGTGAATGTGAGTGAAATAGTATGTGATAGAGAAGAGAGGCATAGTTGGGTAAGTTGGTCCTGATTGTCGGGCCTGTTCAACACTGTTTCTCGCCTGTAGCGCATACTATTTTTTTTGCAGAGTTTTTGAAATGTAAAGGTCACCAGCAACTGTTCTGATGTATCTGTTTCTGATATGGTCAAAATTTTTGTCACGTCATTCAGCGAACCGTCTGCTTGCTCAAGCCCTAGTTCACCAGTTTAACATTCTGATCAGGGAGTTTACTTCTTTTTTTTT